GGAGCCAGGCTGGAGTGCAGTGGTTCGATCTCGGCTCACTGCAACCTCCACCTCCCGGGTTCAAGCAATTCTCCTGCCTCAGCCTCCCAGGTAGCTGGGACAACAGGCGCACGCCACCACACCCAGCTAAATTGTTTTTGTATTTTTAGTAGAGAGGGGGTTTCACCATGTTGGCCAGGATGGTCTCAATCTCTTGATCTCATGATCCGCACACCTTGGCCTCCCAAAGTGCTGAGATTACAGGCTTGAGCCATCGCGCCCAGCTGGGAGTGATTCTTATATTCCTCCCCAGCATATCTCACACTGAGTAAATAGTAAACATTTGATTGTATGTTCAAGAATATGAGCAAAGTGGCCAGGCTCATGCCTATAATCCCAGGACTTTGGGAGGCAAAGGTGGGAGGATCATTTGAGCTCAGGAATTTGAGGCCAACCTGGGTAACATAGTAAGACCCTGTCTCTACAAAAAATTTTTTAAATTAGCTAGGCATGGAGACGCATGCCTGTGGTCCCAGCTATTCATGAAGCTGAGGTGGAAGGATTGTTTAAGCCTAGGGGTCATGTCTGTAGTGAGCTGTGATCAGGTCACTGCACTGCAGCCTGGGTGACAGAGCAAGACCCTGTCTCAAAAAAAAAAAAAGAACATAAGCCAAGTCAAATACCATTAACTGAAGATTGTGCTTCAGGATTGAGGCAAAAAAAAAATTTTTTTTAATTATTTTTAAAAATTTAACCTTCACATCACTTAGCTCAGTGCCAGGCATATCATAGAAGCTCACTAATTGTTGACTAGATGAAGCCTTATCTGAATTCACTGTAGAATTATAGGACTCTGTCAGCACTCCTCTGCCCAGTCTCAGGAAGGAGATCAACACAGCTCTGACAACAAAGGAACACAATCCGTATTGAGTAGCAAACTCGTTTCCCTTCCCAAAATCTGATCCTCCCTCCACCTGTTTCCAATTGTAGTTTATGGTACCACTGTCCTGCCAGACAGGCACCAAAGCTTCAAATTACCTTTGACACCTTCCTCCCAAATCTATTTACTGATTCCATAATCTCTGCTGTCTTGTTCTTGCCACCAGTACCCTGGCCTCATCATCTTTAATCCAGAGAACTGCAGTCATTACCCATCTGGTCTTCCCACTAAGTCCTTCCTTTTCTAGTTCGTTCTATCCACAGGCCGGCAGCCACTGTAATCTTCCACATTGGAGCATAATTGGTCATTATATCTCTTACCCCGTGACATTTAAAAATTTTTTTTCTTTGAGACCGAGTGCCTGTCGCTCAGGCTAGAGGGCAGTGGCCTAATCTCGGCTCACTGTAACCTCCATCTCTGGTTCAAGCAATTCTCCTTCCTTGGCCTCCCAAGCAGCTGAGATTATACGTGCACACCACCACCACGCCTGGCTAATTTTTGTATTTTTAGTAGAGATGGGTTTTGCCATGTTGACGAGGGTGGTCTTGAACTCCTGGCCTCAAGCAATCTGCCCGCCGTGGCATCCCAAAGTGTTGGGATTACAGGTGTGAGCCACCATGCCTAATCACCCCCTCAAAAAAATGTTTTTTAAGATATAGCCTCACTCTTGCCCAGGCTGGAGTGGAATGGCAAGATTATAGGTCACTGTAACCTAAAAGTCCTGGGCTTAAGTGATTCTCCTCCCTCAGCCTCAGTACCTGGAACTACAGGTGTGCACCACCATGGTTGCCTACTTTTTATTTTTTTGTAGAGACATGGTCTCGCTATGTTGCGCAGGCTGGTCCCAAACACCTGGCTTCAAGCAATCCTCACCTTGGCCTCCCAGAATGCTGGGATTACAGGCATGAGCCACCACACCTGGCCTAAAAATCTTTGATTTTCTTTTTTTTCTTTCTTTCTTTTTTTTTTTTTTT